CAACCTAAATTTAAAAAAAATAATAATAATAATAAAATTTTTTAAAAGGATATTTATGTTGTGTTTTACGCTCTGCTTCATTTACATTGTGTTCCACACAGTCATTCCCATATATTGTTATTGTTGTTGGTTTTAAGTGCCGTGAGTCGTACACAGCTCATAGTGACCCTATGAACGAAAGACTGAACACTTGTATAACTTTCATCATTTCTCCAAGTTCATAGTTTCCAGAGGTGAACTATTTCAGAAGTGGATGCCACTCCTGCTTCCAAGCTTGTTTTAATTGGGGTTTAACCAAACACTGTCCACTATGGGTAACCATTATTTCATTTGACACATCAGTGTCACAGTGTTTAGCATCACAGCAACAGCAGTTACCTCTGTACAGCAAATGGACAGACCAGAGCTATACCACTTAGAAGAATGTTTGACCAAAAACAATTCAAACCAGGCCTGAGGGCCGCAGATTAAAAACCCACTTTTGGCTTGGTAGCATAACTTTCTGTGCACTAGGCCAACAGAGCTCTCTCTCTGTTGTTGTTGTTAAGTGCTGTCAAGTTGGTAGACGACTCATAGCTACCCTATGAACCAAAGACCTGGACACTTGTAAAACTTACATTGTTTCTCCAAGTTCATAGAGTTTTTTTAGGTAGAGTGTTCTATATATGTCTGTATGACCAAGTTGATGAATTACATTGTTTAGCTGTTAGGCATCTTTGCTGAGTTTTTCTAGTAGTTTTGTCTTTCATTGAACATGGTATAGTTCAGTCTTCTGCTATTATTGTAGAGTTTTCAGCTTCTCTTTACAAATATGTTGACATTTGATGAATGTATCTTGTGTTTGTGTAGCTATTAATTATTGTTATGTCTTCTTGTTTAATTTACACTTTGCTCATTATGTGATGTCCTTCCTTGTCTCCCCTGCTGGTTATTATCTTCAAGGATGTTTTATCAGAAATTAATAATTCCACTCCAGGTTTGTGTTTTTGGTGGGGTTTTTTTGATTGCTGTTTACTTTCTATCTTTTTTCCTCACCCTTTGATTTTCAATCAGATGTCCTTATGTTTGCTTAGCTGAGAATTTTTTATTGGGACCTCAGGTGATCTTGAGGAACACAGTTTTCTGTTTTAACCACTACTGATGTTTTCTAAACAGGAAATTAAACCAAACTTGACAGAGAGAATTCAAGACTATGATGTATCACTTGACAAAGCCCTTGATGAATTGATGGATGGTGATATTCTGGTGTTTCAGAAGTAGGTATTTTTTGAAGTATTGTGCTGCGTGACTTTTTTTCTCACAGGTCTCTAAATCCAGAAACTTGATCGCGTGTCTACCCGGCATCTAACTTTGTTTAGTGTCTGAGAAAAGCAATACAAGTGAGCATTCCCTGAGTTTTGGAGTTACTGTTAGGGAACACTCTTATCCTTCAATGTTCTTATCTTGTTTTCTAAATATACTTGGCATGCTTGTAGTTACTGTTAGTGGAATGGCGAAAGTCTCTGTAGAATAGCAAAATTGCTTTACTTCCTTTAAGATACATGTTACACTTGAGGCATTCTCACCTCTCTACTCCTGAAGTGGACCCAGTCTTCCTTACTCAGAGGGTTTCTTTTTTTTAAAGACTTTTCTGTCTATAAGTAATAAAAGAAAACCAGACAGACACATATTACTAAAAGGAAGAAAAAAAAAATACATATTATACCTGTGTTCACTGCAGCAACTAAAGTGCTAGAATATGCGATTCCTTAGACCGTGCCGCCTCAGAACACTTATTTAAAATCTCTGTGCATGTAAGACAGAGTATTGACCCAAAGTGCAGGGTTCAAATCCACCATCGATTCTGTGGTAGGAAGAGGAGGCAGTCAGCTTCCATAGAAAATTCGTACCTCGGCCACTTCCTGGGCCAGTTCTATTCTGTCTCTAGGAGTCATAATCAACTCAATGGCCATTGTTTAGACACGTAATACTAACAGGAGGACAGTCTTAGGTACTGAGTATCTGTATGTTGCACTCGGCTTTTTGGAGACGGCTCTGAAGTCAGGTATTGGCAGGTTTTTTCCTGTAAGTACGGTGGCAGGTACTTTAGGTTCAGTGACTACCGGCCCTGCTTAGCATAGGAGCTGCAGTTTGCCAGCAGTGTCCTTGTATCCTCACCTTGTCTGCAGCAGTAGTGAGGATCACACAGTTTGTGCTGTGTGGTTGAGACTGTCATGGGCACAAGCTCAGTGGTGGTGGCTCACAGCACACAGTTCATATTGTCCAGGAAGGCCCTGCTTAAAAGGCACCTGGGACAGGCTCTTGACCTCATGCTGGAGGGATCTGCTGGGATGTGGGGACCTGTGTAGTTTCCACTCTGCCTGCCACCTTTTCTTGTCCCTAGGGATGACCCTGACAACGATCACAATGGCTTACCCACCGCCAAGGAGTATTTCCAAGACCTCTACCACTGCATGGATGTCACTTTCTGTGATAAAACCATCTCAAATGACCCTGGATTTGTCATCACTTTATCTGATCGGATGAATTATGTTCAGGTATTGAGAAATGGCATTCCCGGTCATTAGAGTCCTCACTGCTTTCTAGTATAGAAAACCTGATTGCTTTTTGAGAATGGTGGCTGAAGTCACTCTCAAGATGTTTGCTTCAAAAAGAGTTGATCCTATCTCTGTTGTTTGGGGCTGTTTCTCACTGGTGGAAGTGAATGAACCAGTGGGTGAATGTTGCCATGAGAACAAGATCAGGTTTTCCTGGCCCCCATTAGCCCTCTGGAGTTTCTGCCACACACTCCTCTGTAACCCATGCAGGATTCATGTTAGAGCAGTGCTGGTTTTAGCTCCTTGGTTAAGGAACTCTGTTGACAGAGCCAGCCTCAGGGTCTTTGATTCAGATTCACTAGTTGCTTCTTAGAAGGATGTACTGTTCCTTCTGTTAGATTTGCCTCCTTGAAGACTTAATGGTGGGTTGCTTTGAGTCAGAATTGATACAGTGGCAGTTGATTTAGTTTGCAACCCTGCTTCAGTACCAAGTATGTACTTACAAACCGGCATTTAAAAAAATCATCACCGGGGAGCTCTGGTGGCCTAGTGGCAAAAAGCTGTATTGCAATCCCAGAGGTATGCCGTTTGAAACCACTAGATGCTCTGCCGGAGAAGGAGGGGCAATCTCCTCCTGTACCAGTCAGATCCAATTTGACGGTATACACTCAAAAAGAATTTAAAAAATCATCACCGTCACATTTAAGTGAAGACCCCTTTCAGAGTGACCTTTGCCAGGTATGTTCTTGCACAGTGATCTACCGAGAGTTCAGGGTATTTTTGTTGTGAATTGTAATTGCCTATTTGTTTCACATTTCCTCAATAACTGGAAACAGAATTAGGGGATAGTCCTCTGGATGCCACCACTGACTTCACTGGGAGTGGGAGATTCAAGGCCAGAAGCCCGAGATTGATTGCTCTGAGGGAGAGGCCCACCTCTTGCCAAACTTTTTACTGCTTCTGACACCAACGTTCCTTGCACAACACCCTCTACTTCTGTGATGGGTTTGGTGATTCTTTTTTTTTTTTTTTCAATCTTTTACATAGATTTATTAATTTCACGTATTTTTTTCATGAACATGAACATTAACTATGCACATAGAGCTCACTTGATGAACTCACAGAATTCAGATTGACAACATCTACAGAAAAAGACATTGGATAAGAAACTCAATATCAGCAGTGCAAACAAGACCAAGGGCTGACTAAGGAACAGACAATCATTTACTCATTTGCAGATTCAAATTGAAGCTGAAGAAAAAAGTTCATGAGACTCAAAATATAATGTTGAGTCTGTCTCACCTGAATTTAGAAAATGTTGTTGTTATGGGTTTGGTGATTCTTCAAGTGGCCACCCAGAATTCACAAACTGTACTCCTCATCATTATGAGGTTTATTAGGGAAGTGTAACAGATGACAGTTCAGTATAAGAAGAGACTCAAGGAATGACTTGGTACAGTGTTTTAGTTAAGACAGTTGGACTGTGCAGCTGGGCTCTGCAGGCTCACCTCTCCTGCTGTCTCCCTCACAGCCCCATCATCCTTTGTGGCTCTTACCCCCTCACCTCTTGTGGCTCTCAGCCCTGTCACTCCTCATGCCTCTCAGCCTTGTCACTCCTCATTACCCCTCGTGGCTCTTGGCCTCGTCACTCCTCATGGCTCTTGGGCCTCATCACCCCTCGGGCTCTCAGCTTCTCAGTCCCATCACCCCTCAATGGCTCTTACCTTTCTCATTCAGTGGGCCCAGAAGCCCACTGCCCTGTCTCTTGCTGGTCTCCTGGTTATGCTGCCACCACTGTTAAGTCAGCTTTTCTTTTTCAGTGGTCATGAGCCCCCCCTGCTTAATTTCCTCACCTTTAATTGCTTGCTAAACAAAAGATATTGACTCAGAAAATCGTCAGTTTACTATGGTGATGAAGAGTGGTAACAGGGATAAGATCCCATCCTAATCCTCTGTTAGTCACAAGTGAGACGCTAAACATAGGCTAGGATTTAACACATATCTCCAGATGGAGGTAGTTGCAACACATTGTGACACGGAAGACCATCACTCAATACTGGAAGCTTGGCCTAGCCAGGGTAGCAAATGCTATCAAAGGTTCCAGGTGACTTTTTTTAAAAAAAATAAATAAATAAATAAATTAGTTTTTATGTACAATTTGAATACACTGTATTTCACGCTTTTTTTCATTCACATTTTGTTTCATATAGTCATTCTCATGCATTGTATTTTATAAAATTAATCACATTGAACTATGCCCACCGTTACCCCATCTTTTCAAGTCCCCGCAGGATCTTTTTCCTTTACCCACTCAGGTTGGAAACCACCTGTGCGACCCCCTGATTTCCCTTCTGCACATTCTCACCCCTCTGCTCCTACTTCTTCCCCACCTTGGGCCTTCATACACATTTTACTAGTTATTCTTCTAGTTATTCTTCTAGTTTTACAATAGTGGCCTTAAGCAGTATTTGTCCTTATGTGACTTGAGTTAGTTAACTCAGCATAATGCTCTCCACCTATGTAATAGTTTTTGAAACCATTACTCCTAAGGACAGGGTTCAGAACTGTTCATAGGGTCGCTGTGAGCCTTAGTCAACATAGTAACAACAGAAAGTTAACAGGAAGAAGCCCCAGAGCTCCCTCTAATTCCAATGAGCTGTCTAAAAAGCTTTAAAAAAAAGTTCTGGTGGCAGAGTTTATAGCATAGTTCTATAAACTATAGAGTTTATAGTATAGTTCCATACACCATACTGGTCGCAGCATAGTCCCATCTCAATAGGGATTCTGTGTACCTTATTTGCATTCTTATCAAGCTGTTCATTAATCTTTGTGGGCCACAACAGACATATTTGGATAGCTCTACCTAGTCATTGTATGAAAATCATAAAGACTATGATTGTTTTTAGGGAGCTCTAATGGCCTAGTGGTAAGGAGTTGCACTGCCTACTACTCAAAGTCATGCTGTTTGAATCTCCAACAGCTCTGTGGGAGGAAGATGAGTAGTCTCCAAAGACCTGGAAGAGGGTCATCTGTGGGTCGGTTACACCTTGACAGTACATAACAGCCTGACTGTTGTTAGCTGTCCTTGAGTGAATCCTGACTTACAGCCCTCCAAGTACAACAGACTAAAGCCCAGCACCCCCCTAGCCGTGTCCACTGTCCTGGGCCCTTTGCTGCAGTTACTCAGTCAGGGCCTTCTTCCTTTTTACTGATCCTTTACACTTTTACAAGCATGTTGTTGTTCTCTAGAAACTGGCTCCTCTTGATAACATGCCCACAGCATGTGAGATAAAATGCTTGAACATGTGGGTAGACCAAGACTATGGACAGAAGGGCCATCTCCACCAAAGTAATTCACCCCACCAAAATACCCTGAAAGTAACTGGTAAGAAGTTACGCTTAGCAGCAGATTTGAGTTCTTAAGTGAATCTTCCCTTCTGTGCGCTTCTCACCTCTCAGGTGGCCCAGGCTGTTGCTGAGAGACTTGACACAGACCCCATGCAGCTCCAGTTCTTCAAGTCCCAAGGGTAAGCCATGTCCACAGACGCTGGTCTTTGTGGTGCTTTGGGGGCTTCACAGGACCCTCTTGGCACTATGCTCTGTGGCTGCCACATTACCTGCCATGCCATTCCTGCTGAGCTCCAGGCAGAGATCTGCCCTTCAGCATCCTGACCACTCTGCTTCATGATCCCATCTAAACCCAGGCTTCCTACTGCTTTGTCCTTCACCCTGCCGCACAAGTCCCCCTGCAGTTCTTTGGGAGCACACTGGTGACGCAAGTGCCTGCAGTTGTTGCAGGCAGTGGTGTGCTTAGATGTGGCAGCGGTGTGCTTCGATGCTTGCCCACTTATGCGCTTATAGGTATCTGCCATAGGCAAATGAGCAGGTTATTTATGTGCTGTTTTTTTGTGTAGTTGTAGAGATGGCCCAGGTAATCCTCTTAGACATGATTTTGAAGGCACTTTACGAGATCTGCAGCTCTTCAAGCCTAAACAACCTAAGAAACTTTACTATCAGCAGGTATGCGTCCAAGCGTGGGCACTGCCGGATGCACAAACACAGGGTGGCACAAACCCGGGGCAGCACAGACCCGGGGTGGTGTAGACCGGGGCCTGCACAGACACAGGCTGTGGTGTATGGGAATGCTTCTGAATGACTCTCTTCTCTCAATAGCTGAAAACAAAAATCACAGACCTTGAAAACAGCCAATTCCAGGATGAGGTGAGTCTCTCAGTAGCTTGCATTTTCATTATTTGTGGAGCTGGCTGCTTGGTTTTGTCTCACCCCAGACCTTGGAAGGAAGGCACTCTGAGAAACACTCTGAAGTTGGACAGCTTGCATATGGGAGTGGCCTGACTTCTGTCACCTTCCTCAGCTTAAGGGGTTAAGAACAAGATTGAGCCATCCAGCTCTCCTAGTAACCACTTCCAATTAACTGGGAGATTATTTTCACTTTTTTAAAAATGGTGATTAGAGTAAAAGTTTACAAAGGAAGTCAGTTTTACATAAAACCGTTGGACACATTTTGTTTTACTACATTAACCACAGCTCCAGTATTGTAACCACACTTTCCCACTGCCTTCCTGTGATTCTCCTTTCCATTCATCCTTCTAGCCTACTCCTTCCTGCCTGCTGAGCTTTCTTCCTGGGGGAATGCTGCCCGTATGACATTATTGGTTGGTTATTCTAAGAAGAGAGTGCCTTCCTGGTGTTACTCTGTAAGCCTGTCTGTGGTATGGTTGAAAGTTGAGCCATGGGGATGAGTTTTGTTCTAGCATCAAAGGGTAACAGCCCCAGTCAGGAGATTACACCACACTTGAGGCTGTGCTGGTCGCCCAGAGCACCATCATGCCACCTACAGGCAGGCCCCCTTGGGCTTACTGCACCTGTGGGTCTGGACCTCGGACTTGTGCCAGCTCCTGAGAGAAAACCATGACCAGCCACGCTTTTCCTTTCTTTCCTATCTGTTCTACTAAGCCCCTACCTGCTCTTCAAGGGTGTGTGTTCTGGGTGGGAAATTTCTGAGCTCTCTCACTTTTATTTAGTCGAGTGAGTCATCTGGGCCTATCTCAGCTCAGCTGGTCCAGTCCAGGGGTTGGGGAAGCTGGGAGCTGGGACCCATGGCTATCGGTCCATAGAGACCTGTCCTGTACGAGTCTGGCCACAGTGGCTCTGTACCAGCCTCACGCTAGGACTTCACCCAGAGGCATTAGCATACCTCCTCACTGTGCTGAGAGCAGAAAACCCACAGGCACAATTGTGGGCACCTCTTCTGGTAAGCCGTTCTATAAACACAGGCATTAAATCTCAAGGCAACATTCCTCAGGATGCCCCCTCAGTCCTGGATTGTACTCTGGTCTGGGGCCTGTCCTTATCATGGCTGAATTCACAAGCTATTGGTTCCATGTCCTTTACTCATCAGTAACTAAACCTCGGCTGACTAAAAGAACAGATGCTGCTGTGTTGGACAAAGTTTAGCCAGGAACTTTTCAACAGGCATGGTGAGACTTTGGACATGTTCATCTGGAGGGCCCAGTTCTTGGAGAAGGATATCTGCCTACATTGGTGGAGGGTCAGCAGAAAGAAGGTGTTCACTGAGATGAATTGATGCCATGGCTGCAGCAGTGGGCTCAGGCACATTGGAACTTGTGATGATGATGAAGCATCAGGCAGTTTTGTTCAGTTGTACGTAGGATCACTCAGAGTGATCTGATGGCAGCTACCAATAGCATCCTGACTCTAGAGACAGATCCATATCCGCTTCTTGCTCCTCGACCCCCTCTGAGTGCGTTGTCTCTTCTCTTTCAGTATCTCAGGGTATAGATTATATTGGCATGACTGACACCATGTAAAGAATCCTCCAGTCTGCCCCTGTGTCTAGGTGGTGGGCATGGAGTTATCCGCCACTGGAGGGTACAGAAGAGTGTTCCCTATGCACAAGATTGTTCTCCAGGGTGGGGAGGTTCTGCCGTGATGCAGGCTAAAAAGGCCCTGGAGACACACTAGATGCAACATTGTGCTGCTAAAACTAAAGCATTGTGCTGAAACTGACTGCCAGCTTTTCAAGTCCAGCAAGAATGATGAGGCAGTCTGCGCCTGTATAAATTTACTGCCTCGAAACCCCTTGAAACAATTCTGCTCTGGCCTCCAGGCTTACACTGAGGAAATTGCTGCAGAGGCGCTGGTTACTTGAGCCAAAAACAAGGTCTTGGTAAGTGTGACACTGGAGGGACAAAGGAGAAAGAGTACCAAGGGAAAATAATGAAAACATTTCAAAAGCGTGTGATCCTAAAAGATGACCAGGAGTTCATGAAAAGCTTCACAGCATGGATGAATCTTGAACAAATAAGGCTGAGGGACAAAAGTATACCACAAAAGGATGATTATGGAATAAGACCACTACCAAAATGTCAGGAAAGGTTTACACACAAGATAGAATTGATTTTAGAGGGTTAACAGTGATGACAAGGAAGTATCACTGAAAAAAGAAAACAAAACAGGTGTAATGGAACACATCCCCATCCATGAAAGCGTTAGCAGTGGGTGGTGCTTTTCCCTCAGCTTCCAGCCCTGTGTTCGCTCCCTGAGTGGCAGGCAGGAGGGATACACCCTTTAACTGATTGTACCCACATAGGACATCACCTTCCAGCACTGTTCCCTGCTCTTACAGCATTTTTGAGGTATATATACCATTGTTTCAGAAGTGCAGGGCCGGTCCTGCATCCCTAGTTAATCTGGGAGCTTTGTTGAAACCTGTCCACCACTAATGACTCTCCTAGTATTTGTAATACTTGTGCCAAAACTTCCAGCATCACAGCAGCATGTAAACCGCCACAGTGTAGCAGACAGACAACACTTCCTGAAGAGATCAGAGACTCCACCCTTCACTAAGGGTTCAACACAATGTACCTGGCGTAAGCAGCATTACGGTACATATTCAAAAGATTAACATTGTCATCATTTCCATATTACATCAATCCATGGTGAGTATCCATGGAAGCAGCAATCAGGACTGGAATGTGCATTTCTTCTGACAAGAGACCTGTTGAAGGTGCTGAAGAGCAACACTGTGTGCACCTAATCCAGGCCATGGTACGTGTTCTCAGGGGCTTCATGTTTATGTGAAAGCTAGGCAGTGAATAAGCAAGGTCTAAAAGAATTGATGCCTTTGTGATTGTGATGCTGTAGAAAAATACTGACCATACCATGGTCAGCCAGAAGATCAAACATCTGTCTCGCAGGAGCACTGTGACTGCTCCTTGGAACCAAGGACAGTGAGTCTTCATCTCACCTACTCTGGGCAAGTTGTCAGAAGGGTCCAGTTGCTGAAAAATAACATGGTGAGAAAGTAGAGGATCAGTAAAAGAGAGGAAGACCCTCAGTGAGGTAGACTGACACAGTGGCTATAGCAGTGGGCTCAAGCATAGCAGATGTTGGGAAGAGTGCAGGATCAGACAGGGTCTCTTCTGTGGCACAGTGGTCACTCCCCTGCACATAACACCCCACAAATGAAATGTCACCAGGCTAACGCCAGTGCTTCTAGAGAGGTAAAAAGGAGCTCGGACTACATGATGGCACAAAGGACTTACCTGTTGGCTTCAACCATTGATAAAATAAATAGGACCTAGACCAACCTCTGTGAGCTAATGGAAATATTTTCTTTCTTATCTCCCCTTGTGTCTTGTCTTCTAGGCTGAGATGGAGACATCAGTGGAAATTGTGCCAGCACAAGAGATTGCGAAGGGCTCCATTGACACTGTAGAGAAACGCAAACTGATCCAGCAGCATCTAGTCCTCCTGCTCCACGCCCACAGATGCCAGCAACGGGAGCAAGCCAACAGTGAGGTCCAGGCCTGCTCGCTCCCGCACTGTCAGACCATGAGAAACGTTCTCAACCACATGACCCAGTGTCAGGCTGGGAAAGCTTGTCAAGGTGGGTGCTGTGGGCTGGAGTTTTGGTGGCAGAGGTTTAGGGTGGAATAGATGTCTCATTCTCAAGCAGCCCTTGTCAGTAAGACCATGGGAGCCTGTATACTGCCTCCTTTCTGGGTTCTATAGGACATGTTTCTGAGTCCCCACACACCTGCCTCTTTCCCACTTGGCAGGCACTCATCTGCTGAGGGAAAAGGCATTTGGGTTTTACAGTGGTTTATGAGCTGAGACCAGAGGAGCCTGTCCCTTCTTCCTTTTCACTTCTTTCCGTCTTCATTGCAGACATCAAGGTCTTGAGCCACGTTGAGAACACACACCCATGCATGCACCCTCCAAACTCAGAGTGTCTGGCTTACAGCTGTTTGCTAGATTCTGACTGCCTTGACCACTCCCTCTTGGTCTTGAGGCTCATCAGGAGGACAGCAGAGCAGTCCTGCCGGCTGCCCCTCCGCGTGGCAGTGGCCGGTAGCCACAAAGGCAGCGCCTCCTGTTGCATCCTTCATCCCCCTCTTCCAGCAGACACCCCACCACACCCCCGGCTCTTACAGAGGGATGATACTGGTCCAAAGACGTGCTTTCCTTTCATCTTTGTCTTCTCTCCTGTTCTTTATGCTCATGAGCCTTGAGGAATCGCCCCCTATCCTCTGACATTTACGAGTTTCCAGAGTAGCCTGACAGGATGGAGGAGGTGATGGGCAAGGCTAGGCCTTGAGAAATGAAACCGCAGCGTTACTGAAATGAAGACAGAGTAGAGGAGCAGTGCTGGGAGCCCCTCAGCCCCCTCCCAACTTCCCATTGGCTGCTCTGCCTGTAGATCTTCAACTGCAGGGGTTATATGGCTTCATCTTTAAAGATAACTCAAATTTGATCTTTCTTAGTGACACTGCAGAACAATGAATTGTTCTTGTACTGCATTTGCTCCATATTTCAGGTTCAGTTGTTTTTGCTGTGCTGTTTTGTTTTGTTTTGTGAGCTGAACCTTAAGCACTCATCACTCATAACATTGCCTCTGTGGGAAGCTTTTGTTTGGCATTCTCCACAGTCAGCTTACAAACATTTTGGAAAACAGCCTGTTTGTAAGTTTAAGACTGCCTATACTGCATTATGGTTCCACTTGTTACCATTTTCTTATGGACTCTGGCATTGTGATTTAGGTGTAAAGTGTGAAGATTTGGATGGAAAAATAACATCCCATTTTTCTGGTCATAGTTGCCCATTGTGCATCTTCACGGCTAATCATCTCTCATTGGAAGAACTGCGCACGACATGACTGTCCTGTTTGCCTCCCTTTGAAAAATGCCAGTGACAAGCGAAACCAACAAAGTAAGTGAGCACTGGGGGTAGATAAGTCTGGAGGTGAGAAAATGAGCTGTTTGTCAAGACAGTCCAGAGAGCAGGTAGGAAGCAGGACAGAGCTCACTCACCCCAGGTGTCATGGCCAGTGAGGGGACCTCCACAAGGTAGAAACATAAGGCCCAGGATCAAACTAAGGTGCATAGACTTGTTCCTGTGGATGGAAATGATGTGGGATTCTCTTTCTGCCGTGCGCCACCTCTCTGCCTTCCTCTGACAGGCACTTGAATTCAGTAGTGATAGAGCATGAAAAAGAGGGAAGCCACCTGATATAGTCCAAGAGCTGAGGTGCAGGGTATCCTGTTCCTTCACGAACACGTAGGTGTGAGGAGTGTGGGCTGGACCCTGAGTCAGCACAGCAGTGAGAGCACTTCCTGGTCCAGCGCCATCCTGAGGATAGATGTGTATCAGATGTTGTGTCCCCTTGGTTTTCATGAGCTGGTTCTTGGGTCACTGGAGTATCAGGGACCTGGAAGTGGGGAAGAGATACAGGGACACTTCTTTGGGAATTGGAAACCCCTTATCCTAACATGAACTCTGAAGGTGCTCTCAGAGAGCTCAGCAGATTGGTCAACCTCACATCCCACAGGGAGACAGCTGCGAAGGGTGTCCTCCTGCCTGGGGCTGTGGTCCCCAGCCTCATTTGTGTGATTGCCCATTTATTCAGGTTGGGAGTCTCGGCCTCAAGACTGACCACATCCCCGTCCCTCCTATTGTTTTGTCTTTTCCAAGTCACCTGTGTAGCCCTTAGCATGTAACGCCAGGGCCGTCTGCCCTTCAAAGACATTAGAGCTGATACAGAATCGGTATTAAGGTTGGTTGTGGCTTCCCTTTCTGCCCTGTCCTTGGTTTCACTGAGGAAGCTCTTCTCTTGAGTGTCCAGCATTGGCCAGTATAGAAGGTGCTTTCTGTCTGTCACCCTCTTACCAGAATCCCCAGTGGCTCTTCACAACCCAGTCTCATCCCTTTGCTCCATCCCTCCACGCTGACCCACTACAGCCCACAGAGAAGGTGCTGCTTATCTTACTGGAAGATTCTGAGAGGTGTGGCTTCAGAGGGAAAGACTGAGAAGCACGTTACTTAAATATATTGTAGTGTTAAAAATCTCTTACTAGAACTAATTTCATTTATATAGTATTCCTAGGTGATAAAATGTTCACTGTACAGTTTGGAGTTAGTTCTAAAATGGACAAAGACCTCATTCTCAGTTTCATTTTAGGGGTATGGCTCTCCAGGGTGTTTTCTTATTTATCATAGACTGCCATCAGAATCATAAACTATTTCTTTCGTTTTCTAGGAAATCTTTTGGTGGTTAATTCTTATAAAGGAAAAGAAACTTGTATGTGTGCATGGCTTTTCTTTTGTCTCTGACAGTCTTACTACTGCATGAATGTTACAAAAACTGATCTGGTGTATATTCTAGAAAATGGTAGAAAAACTAGACCATTTCTTCCTGTGAACACTTACAGCCTCAGGGATCTAGTGGGGAGTCCCCATGAGTCAGGACTGACTCAAGCCAGGGAATTGGTTTTATGGGTGTGATTTTTGTGGTCCCTCAGTTCAGCTCAGGAACTTGAGTTCTCCTTAGCTCCATCCCTCAGTGATAGCGAGCAGAAGAGATGAGCAGAACAGGTGTCTCTTCACTGAAGCCATCTTCCTCTTAGCCACTCAAAAGCTCTTTTGGAGCTTTCTGTCAAAGAGTCTCTTGGTAAAATTGCATTTGCTACTCAGTCATTGTCACATTATGTTTGAGCACTTGGTGCTAACTTTTTGTTTTTCTCTCTGCTTGTTTGTTGTAGCCATCCTGGGATCTCCAGCTAGTGGAAGTCAAAATACAATTGGTTCTGTTGGCACAGGCCAACAGAAAGCAACTTCAAATAACTCCAGCCCCATAGATGCTGCCTCCATGCAGCGGGCATATGCTATGCTTGGTCTGCCCTACATGAGTCAGCAGCTAGCACAGCTTCCAAGTGACCAGCAGATGAGGAACATCAACCCCCTGGGTAGGTGCAGCCTAGAGCATAAACCTCCTTGATGTCTGTTCCCGGAGCAGAATGATGTTACTCTAGACCCTGTTTTCAGTTACCTGTACTTGAAAGTGCAGTTTGGGTCTGTGTGATGGGTGATGTTTAATATGTTCATAGTTAGAACCACAGGAAAAGGCCAAAGTGTCTGAAGCAAGAAAGGTGTCACACACCAACAGGAGGTGAGGAACCTGTGGGTGAACCAGCATTTCTGTGGCCAGCCTCCAGCGGACAGTGTTCCTGCAGGAGTGTCTCAGGGCTCTGAACAAACTGTCAGGCGAGGACTAAGCAGGCCCTGGTTGGATGGACGCAGCACAGATGGTCAGCCAAGCCCTAGCATGCCACAGCCATGGCTGCCTACACTGGAGCAGCTATGCAGAGCTCCAGAATGCCTCCCATCTTGGCTTCTCAGTGGCCCATCATCTGCCAGCCTAGGCCATTTAGTAGGTCACGTGTCCACCAGTCTTCATCTTTAGATGCTTTTTCCTTAATGTGTTCTTTCCATTGCACCATCTTATTAACACACACCTGAGCTGAGCACCAGTGTCTGAAGTGGGAAGTTTGTCCTGCTGGTTTTAATCTCAGAGGTGCTGCAGGTTCAGTTCCAGATGACTATGATAAAGCAAATGTCACAATAAAACTAGGCGCACAACTCTTGGTTCTTCAGTCTAGAAAAGCTCTGGTTGGTAGCTGTGGTCTGTGCGTGCAGTAGCACCGTGAGAAACTTGGAAATGTCGTGAGATTATCTATGGTGGACTGCGTGAGCTAGCATGGGCTGTGGATAAACATTGTCAACAGACTTGCTTCATCAGGTGGCCACAGACCTGTTTGTAAGCAGTTCAATCAAGAGAAACAAAGCGAGGGGTGCCTGGAGACATTGGATTGAGCACTGCGCTCTTTAAAAGGATCAGTTGAGAGCATCTTATGCTCTCCTTTTTGAGTGGGTTGGCTGCGATTAGAGCAGAAACCCTGCCTTCATGAACACACTGTCTCAACTAACCCCGAGACTGGGCTGTAGTCCCGAGCTGGGTTGAGATCTGATGCACATCTTATTGATGGTGGTGTTTGGGGCAAGAAAATTAACCCCTCAACTTTTTTTTAATATAAAGTTAAACGAAGCTTGTGAGCATATTGCTCTTTAGGTTCACCCTCACCCCCTCAGTGTATGTCATTTTCATTTGCTGATGTCTTCACAAGGTGGCTCAGCTTCATTGATAGTAGTGATATATGTTCCCAGATTGAAGCTGCAGATGACCTATATGTGCCGGCAGCCAGCTGCTTGTAGAAATGCATTCTTTTGATATCAGAATGGGGCAGGGAGGAGCCACCACTGACTCCCTGTCTGTCCCCAGTGTTTGACCCAGGGCTCCAGGGCATAGACATCTTCTGTGTAATTTGTTGTCTGTCTGCTATCAAAAGTTTGAGACGTATGTTGTGACAGAGTTCATTGATTGCTCTTCCTTCTTTATCGGAACGAACAAACCCAATGAACATTCCAGCAAGTGGAATAACAACAGATCAGCAACCCCCAAACCTGATTTCAGAGCCCGCTCTTCCATCATCCCTCGGGGCCACCAGGTAAGAACCCGCTTTTTTCTTTGTTCACCTAAGAGAGATAGTTGACCACAGAACTGGTCTGTGGATGTTCACAAGGCATTGTAATCCTTTTGTCAATGTGTGGCAGAGGGAAAAAACCCCAGGATGTAGAGTGGTGAGCTCTTAAATTGTTGAGCAGATCACAAATGAAACCATTTTAATTGTGTTTTATGTGTTTCATTGGGGTCTTCTAACTTTGTACCAGTCCCCTGTAGTGAATGTCTGCTTCAGGAAGCATGTGTGAGACCTTTCAGTAGGTGAGTCATGTCTCCTCATGTTTGCCCTCAGCTCACTGACAAATGGCAGCTGCAACTCCAGCGCTTTCTTGGCAGCAGCACCAGGTTCTAGCAGTGGAGTTCAGAAAGGCTGGCGGGAGCAAGTCACCCCATACCTACGCAGCCATCTAGTGCATAAACTGTATGTACCTGGGAATTTGCTGTGGCTAGAACATTCTATGACTAGAAGTCATGTGATCATTTTACAGTCATAGAGGTCTGCTTTCATTCCTGAATCAACAACTGGGCCCAGGCGGGCTGGCAGGGGTGTTGGATGCATCTATGGCTCTCTGACAGTGGGCTTGGACCTCCGAGGTTCATGAAGTACAGTGGGCATGGTTCTGGGCCATCTAAGGTCCCCAGATGTCAAGTACCAACTCAACAGTAACTCACATAATGTGTATCAGATGAACTTTTGGTAATAGTTACTATTTGGAGATTGGAGTGATTATTGTAACACTGACCTTGTTAGTAGTAAAATAGCAGTGTGTTCAGCTTGCAGGTAAGTTGACAGGAAATGGCTTCCCTTGTGCACATATCAGCCACCTGTGTCCACTCGACAGGTGTGGTTAGACTGCAGCGAACGCTGCCATCACACCAGACTGGTAGACAAATCTGGTGTGTACTCACTGTGTTGTACCTTGCGTGAACAGCACGGTGCTGACCTTGGGGAGGGGTCTCATGTGCCTTCTTTGAGAGAAAGTTGATAAAAATGTTACTCTTTCAGCATTCGGGCCATCTTTCCAGTTACTGATCCAGAAGTACTGAAGGATTACCCTATGGAGAACCTGGTGTCCTATGCAAGGAGGGTAGAAGGCGAGATGTACTCATCTGCTAACAGCCTGGTAGGTGTCACATGATTCCTCAGAGGGGACCTGTTAGCCCGTATCACCATATCTACTTTCTGAGAACAAGGAAACGCTCCTGGAGGAGGCTAACTAGGGAGATAGGAAAAACTATATGTGTAGACACTGGGTGGTGAGTGAGTTGTGTAGAATCCTTTTCCATTGTGGATAGGCTGGGGAAATGGCTGCTCTGTTGTCAGCAGTGAGGAATATCTGAGGAGAGGTTAAGCTGTGGAATGAAGTACTATATGCATATAATACCTATTACTGCCATTTACTTGATTTCAGTTCACAACAGCCCACCTGCAGGACAGATCAGAACTGCCATTGGCCTTCCAGGGCTGAGCCTTTACCAAAACAAACTGCCTCCTGTAGAGTGGCTGCTGTTTGAACCCCTAAACTTTAGTTAGGAGCTGAATTTCTTTAACCACTGGGCCAGCAGGGCTTCTTAAAAGTCTTTATCTGTAAAGTCACTGGGAATTGAGCGA